AGCAGAAGTACCAGCCAGAATCAGTCAGTCTCAGTTCAGTCATCAGCACAGTGAAGGAGCTTCCCCCATCATCATCATCACTGATCTGGACTGATGAATTCTGGGATGTGCCAGTCCTCCCCATTTTGTAACAGCTCTGATCTTTATATCTGCACCACTGTTTGAGTTTATTCTGATATCCAGAACTGTAGAGACACTGAACACTGATAACACCACCTTCATGTCCAGAGACACTGCTGCTCACCACAGACACATCAGGAGCTGAACACACACACCCCAGTCATTTGAGATGATAAAACACATATTTAACATTAGAATGTGATTAAAATAAATACAAAATCTCTTACCAGATTGAACCTTGAGATAAACCACATATGTGCTGGGTTTGACCAACCGTCGTAGCTTTTAACACCTTAACAAACAAAATGCAAACCATTATTATGTCCCAAATTAACAATGATTCACTTCTTAATTTCTTTATTCTCCACATAAAACACAATAAAAGCAACACAAACAGCTTAGCATAAAATGTGGCATTATAAACATGATCCATTAAAAAATAAACTCAGCACAACATTAAATACTAACCTAAAATGAGCCAAAACCCGATGGAAATGTAGAAGATTTTTGTCTTTGCGTATGCGGCCATTGTGTAAGTTTCTCTTCCTGTATCTGGAGTTGTTTGACTGCATTTGTAGTAACTGCTGCACTTCCCGTTTTCACCCTCTTATACAGTAGCACTTACATATCTTGAGCCACCTAAGAGCTGAGGATAGACTCTAGATCAGGGTTTCTCAGCTCTGTCCACTTTCCTGCAGAGTTTAGCTCAACCCTAATCAAACACACCTTAACAAACTAATCAAGGTCTTCAGGATTACTAGGAAGTTACAGGCAGGTGAGTTTGGAGCTAAACTTTCAGGAAAGTGGACCTCAAGGGCCAGAGTTGAGAAACTCTGATTTCAAGATTTCAAGCCAAGTTATACAATAACTGATGCACGTCCACTCTCCTTTTATTTATAGCACACTTTTTATTTACATTTCTGTTTCACTAGTTTAGGGGTATCTTGCGGGGAAGGGAGGGGGGGGGTGTAATATACTAAATTTTATCAGTCACAATCATTGAGATGATGTGTGATCATTTAACGTTTTGAGAAATTATATTTATCAATTACATTAATTCTAATTGCATTTGTATCAGTTATACAAACACTGATTTTGACATATAAAAAAATATTTTACATACCCAACATTTTTTGTCTGCAGCCTGTCAGAATTCTTGATGCTTCTGAATTCAAATTAATATCTGTTTTGTCTGTACAGCATGTTGTTGGCTATATGTCAAAGCCACTCTATGAAACTTGGTCATATGAGCAAGAGCCATTAGTAATGGGTGAAATGAACCGTTGAGTGAAATGACACTTTGAACCAACCAAACCCATTGCTCTGCAAAATGATCCACTGTTTCGAAGCGGTCGAAACACCACATGCTGGTGACGCATGCAACAAAAACTCAGTCCAAACATGCATAAAACACCTTTTGACCAACCAGTTGAAATGTTCTACTGAAAGTGTAATCTATTAATTGACTAAACAGGCCAATAAGAGACTATTACTTACTCTTTACTACTCTTGCGGTCATGGCCGCTTGAGAGCATGTGCACAAAACAGGAAGTAAGTGCACAAGACTGTCCCAGGTCTGAAAACCCCCCGCCAAAGTTCAGTACCCTTAACGCACAGAAGCTAAACGTATCCCATCATGCATCACTTTCAGGAACTCATGTGCCTTAAGATCTTGAAATGTTGAGGGAAAGTTTTATTTATTATTATTTATTTATTGCTTAAAAGAACATACAAAATAACAAGTAAACATCAGTACACACTGTGAACACATTCAAGGAGCATGCGGACAGCCCTTTTTGTACATGGGGAGCCTTTGGGGATTCGGTACCTTGCTCACACCTACCTCAGTCATGGGTACTGAAGGTGGAAAGTGCTGGTCATTCAATCCCCCCCAGTCAGTACTGAGACTCGAACCCAGGACTTTCAGGTTACAAGTCCGACTATCTGATCATTACACAACCAAAACAAATGCCTATTTAAGCCAAATCTGCCATTTTTGTTCGTCAAACAAACCAGACAGGAAAGTAGATTAATGTCGGGGGACTTGAACTTGAAAAATGGTGTGTACTGATATCTTTCTGTGGTTAAAACAAGATTCCTTCTGATGTTCATTCATGTTTATTTTGTGCTATAACTAGTAAAGAGGAAGAGATGATCAGTTCATGTACCGCTTGAACTGAGGTGCTACAGTGATCTGTCACGACACATTAAAGAGCCACAAAACGGTATTTATTGTTTGAATTTCTTAAAAAATGAAACTAAAACTAAACAAAACTAAAACTTTGTTTCATAACAAAAGTAACCTGCTCGTCTTGGCTGCCAACGGGTTTTTCACTGTGTGAGAACATGATGTTTGACGTGAGAGTGCCATAGCTTGTCAGACATAGCAACCGTATCAAAGGTGGGTGGATCTTTGCAAAGAGTCAATTACGCACACAAAAATACAGGATACAAGGAAAAGAGCATGGTTCAACAAACAAGAAAGAAAATGAGAAACTGTGCACAGGTGCCATTAATGAGGCCCGTGAGAGTGTCCTGACTGGCATGAGATTGAGTGGGTGGAGCTGGGTGCTCACATCAGGAGCTGAACACAGACAGCAAAAACTTTGAATTAAATGAATACATTTAGTTAGAGCCAAAGAATAAAACCAAATATAATATAATGGAAATGTATGAACTGTTGCACCACAAAAACCTTCTTTACCTTGTTGAACAGTTAAATACAAAGGTTTTTTTGTCATCTAAGTTTGCATGAATGCCGAGTCTGAAGACGTTGCATTGCTTCGAGTTTCACAGTAAAAAAAAAATGGGCTGGATAATCAGTTATTGTCCGTTTCCGTGGGCTGTAATTTGGCAAAATTCCCACGTAAACCCTTTACACCAGTATTTTAGGTTTATTTTATATTGATTATCATACAGACAGGGGATTGTAATGCTTCCTCCTTCTGCAATGGTTACATAATCTAATGTCTTCAAAGTTACTGTAGTCACACAGACACCGGTTTCATTTGTTATAGGAGACATTTCATTTCATATAATTTCATAAGTAAATAATCAGTGATCCAACCTCATGGCTGCTAAAACATTTGAAAAAAGTTGTGAAATTAAAACGTTTAATTTGTGTTTTACAGCACAACATCAATTATGTATTAAACTGAACAGCTTTAAAGGGAAAAACAGGAGTTAGACAAAATTCAATTAAATTCAAGTTTATTTGTATAGTGCACAGATATTATTCACATAGCTATGAGAAGCATTAAACATGGACATGCAGGTGATTGCCGTGATAGTGATCAATACTTGCTGGCAAAACAATTCAATTAACAGGAAAAACAATTCAATTAAATTCAAGTTTATTTGTATAGTGCACAGATATTATTCACATAGCTATGAGAAGCATTAAACATGGACATGCAGGCGATTGCCGTGATAGTGATCAATACTTGCTGGCAAACACTTTTTACTGTTACAAAAATGCTACAACGCAATCATGTATTCTGCTGTATTAAAGCTTTAATCAGGATAAACCGTATATTAAAAGCTAACATAAGCAGTAGCATTTACAAATAACAGCGTATCTAAAAGTATGAGACAACAACAAACAAACATACCATTCTGAAACGTCCTGTAAGAGCCGTGCTTGCACAGGTTCTGCACGATCCTCTACACTAATATCCTCTGTCTCAATTGGGCTCAAATTGATAAGCAATATTGACAACGCCATTGTTTACAATACAACCGGACTGCATGCCGCTGAGGTGAGGGGCGTGACGTTTAGACACGCACTAGAGGCGGTTTAGCAAATCACAATGCACTGGGCCAGCTAACCAATCTGAGCCCATTGCGTATTTCTGAGGGAGGGGCTTCATAAAACCAGGAAATCATCAGAGCGTTCATAGGAGAAAGGACAGAGTGGTGTAGAATAAAGGTAAATTACAGTATGTGAAAAATAATGCGTTTTTTTTTTTTAACGAAGCATTACCACATGTTAGACTGCACCCCATAAACACAATCAAGCCTAGAAAAAAAAACAAAAAAACACTTTACCACCCCTTTAAAAGTTACATTTTTAGGGTGGTTGGCCTCAGGGGTCTAACTGCACTAGTCAATGTCAAAATGATTGAGATGGTCTGTCAAATCATATTAGGTGAGGTTTACTGTTCACAGAAGTAAAGCACGAATTTAATGTCAAATGAAACTGAAAGAAGTAAGGTCAGATGGAAGCAGTTAAATGTTTAATATTTGACAACTTTCACAATAGAAATGACAGACAGTAACATCCAGTGATGCAAATAAAATAGAGAGATTATATTATATTATTTTAATATTAATTTCCCTTTTTTGATAAATATGGCTGATTTGAATTGAAAATATGGTATCATTACGTGATGTAGGCTAATTCCTAACTATTTTTTTCTTAGAATGTCTTGTGTGATTTAAAAAAAAATTATGAAAAATTACCTTCATTAAAGATTTGCACATAGTCTCATTGGGAGAAAAAAAGCAGTCAACCACCTCTTTAAATGTTTGAAAATGATTAACAGTTGAAAACATTTGCTAGAAATTTTGAAAAGTAATTAAAAAGTAATCAAATGTAATCAGTTGCATTACTTTAATAAAGTTTAAGTAGTTACACTACTTATTACATCTTAAAAAGGGTAACTTGTAGTCTGTAACCTATTTCCTTCCCAACACTGTTAACAATGTCCTTACTACGTTTCTGTGCCTTGACCATGGTAGTTCCCGTGCTGTCTATAGAGGGTTAGAAAGCTCTCGGATTTCATCAAAACGATCTTAATTTTAGTTCCGAAGATGAACGAAGGTCTTACGGGTTTGGAACGACATGAGGGTGAGTAATTAAATGACAGAATTTTCTTTTTTTGTGAACTATCCCTTTAAGTAGTAGATCAGTATATTGGATTTCTCAATCCAAACTTAACTAAAGTACATTGAGAGAAAGTCTGAGAGAAAGCATTTTTTCAGTACTTCAGAATACTTTTATTGAAATTCAGCTAGCTGTTTTTATTAACACAAACAGAGACACAAGCAGAATATTCCACAAATAAGCTGAAAGTGAAGAAATGTAACACTTAAATAGAAATAATAACTGTACATACTTTTAAAAAGAACCCAATTTTCTCAGGAGAGGTCTTTTAATACACACACAATAAAATAAACAAACAAAATTTAAAAAAAACAAAGCAGGTAGTTATGAACTACGAACTTCATTTACAATCGTTTCCATTTTTGACCCTGACATCAGTTCATATGGGTCCTTTTGAAAATAAAATCTTAGGTTAAAAGTTCACAACCAATGTGCAATGAAAATCAAGAGGAAAAAGTCAACTGTATGAGTGGATTCAGTGTTTGTGTTTTTTGGATTTAAGACAAACAAAAAAAAAACTACCAAAAAAGTTGTGGTGTGATAATCCTCTGTTATTGATTTTGTTTATGTTGGTCAGAAGGTTCTGTTCTTGTGCTTTTCTCACTGTTGCTGTCAGTGTGGACCCACAGTACTGTATGTTATGCTGTATATTGTTCCACCTGCTGGAGGCTTCTGGAAGTGTGAGATCATTTCAAATTTACTGCCAGCAGAACCACAAATAAATACACAATATCAATATTTCTGTAAAACTTACTTCTTCACTCTCAGGAACATGATCAATAGTACTGTAGGTTATGTTCTTGTTGGGATCCTGTGGAGAAAGGATACAGCATTCATGTCTGATATTTCATAACTTTAGTGGTATGTCTGTTCTACTTACATTAGGGCTTTCATCATTTATAGTGCTGTATATCACAGGATCTTCAGGTTTAGAGTAGATCTGCATTTCATACAATCACACAAAAAACAATAAAAACAGTAACATCAAGAAACCAAAATGACTGTAGGCTACATGTCCTGGAAATATGTGAGTGGCGTAAAGTATGTGTATAGTGTTGCATTCTTGTCAGAAATATTGTATGAAATAAGTCCAATAAATTCAATTAGCAGTTTGTTGGTCATAACTTTGTATTTATATTTCTGACATGACATCTCTTTGGATTTGAGACTTTAGTCTTTGCAACTTTGCAAATCTTCTTTATGCACCAAGAGCTTGTAACACTCCAAAGAGAAAGGAAAAATTGAAATCGCATCATATGACCCC